TCCATCTCCGTGGCGCTAGCAAATGCGCGCGACCAGGAGATCCACCGCTGCTGATTAGCGGTGCCCTCAGAGCCTGGACCGAAGAAATCCGATGGGTCGAAGCTGCTGGCGTCGTTGGTGTAGCGACCAAGAGCTGCGGTACAAATCGATATCTGGCGAGGATCCTTGCCGTGTCGTAGAAGAGCCATGATTCTTTGAACCAAGGTGAGAACAGTTCCCCACCATTCTCCAGCTCCATCAGTCATGTGCACTCGCCCTGGGGTAGCTCTGGTCTGCATCCATTGCAAAGAAAACCCAGCTGCGCGTGGGGCCCGTTGTCGAAGGTCAAGTTGATGATGAAGTGCGAAAGCACGTTCCACTCCTGAGGGCCACCGCGCGTACTGTCTGGTGACGGCACCAAGGCCGAGTGCGTTAATATGGCCCAACAACTCAGACTCGACAACGCTGCAACATTGAGAGCTGAGCCTCTCCATGGAGGGCTGCTCTTCCCACAGGTCTGAAGGTATGTGAAAGGAGACCTGGGACCCAGGATCCAACGTGCTCCTTGAGGGATGTAGTGCATCGTAGTCTTCCAGCAGATCGGGTGGTACGCGTGCCCGTTCTTGCTCTTGCCGTTGGGCTCGAAGCATAGACCTCTTGCTGCTAGGGTCCGAAGCGAGCTCGGGTCTGGCTACCTTTGGAAACTGTTCAGGTAACAAAAGTTTCTGGTACCACCACCTGCGCATGCCATCGTGGACGTCAACCTGCAGTGCACAATGCGTCTTCCACGGGACCTGAGGCTGCGACCGAACTCGGTATCTGGACGATGTTCCGTACTTGGCCATTGCGAAATCGATGAGGGAGCCCTCCTGCCCTTTATCGCACGTGGTGCTGACGTCCGCAGGTAGAATGAGTGTGCCCCCAATTTTATCAGGCCACCCAGATCCTTCCAATGAAGTTGGTGAAATAGTCCAGTCGTCGATAACCAACCAAGGGTCTGCAAGCCCATGAAGGAAAGAAGCTAACGCAACCAGCACCTGACGATTTCTGCCAGAAACTCCCAATCCTGGCCAAAGATAAACTGATACCAAGACCAGGTTGCCCGAGGACAAATGCAGGATCATGGCGGCGAACCCGCGCATAAGATCAGGTTGGCGTGCAGCTTGCGCATACTGCCGAATGGCCTGCAGCGAGGTGGTAGCCAGGTGCTTCTTGGCCATGACCCATTCACCGCCAGACGAACCTCCTCGTCCTGTTGGAGTGCTCCCTGTGGCGCAGACCTTCCAACCGTCTTTGTCCAGTTCGATCTCCGTCTTGGGGTGGAACGTGGCGGCGGTGACATGGGTCTCCACCAGACAAAACACAGAGTAAGGGGCTGTGTTGACATAGCGCTGCGCTTGAGGCCCCCACTCAGTGATGTTACCGTAAAGGATCGAAAAATCTATCTCATCGGATATGAGCTTGGAGGGGGCTGGAGCGGCCAAAGCCTGCGCTGCTTGTGCGCTGAGGCCAGCCTCAAGGCCCGTAGGGCCGCCGCAAGAGGCAGCCTGGTCCGCCCTAGCCTCGGAGGGCCTGGCGGTGACGCCAGGTGGAGCAGGGCCTCCCTCCGCCTCGAACGGCGAGTCCTGGCGGAAACGCTCGTTGCCCTCCTCAAGCTCCAGATCCTCGAACGGATCCAGCTCGGCGTCGTACAGGTGCGCCGTCGTAACTGAAGGGACAGAGGCCTGCGGTCCCGTAGATGCGCGAGGCGCAGCCCTCGGGGGAGGGCTGTCATTAAGGGCAGCATACGCCAGCCCGCCAAGCGCACCCGTCAGCGAGGCTTGACCCGATGCGCCCGAAGAAGTACGAGTGGCCGAAATCCTCACACTCGGGGATGGCGTAGCTCCGCGCGATGCAGAACGCGATGAACGTCTTGCCTGCGGTGCACGTGCCGCCGAGCCTTGAGCCGCAGTCGGCGAACTGCTCACCTCCAACGGTGCTGTAGTTGTATCGCTTCCAAAAGCGCGCTCCTCATCCGAGTCGAGGAAGAAGTCGACTGGGTAGGGCCAGGGGCGCCCGCCGAAACAGCGAGCCGACAAAACTCGGCGTGGCGCCCCTCGATCTGCGTTAGGCTGTGGACGGAGCCCCTGATGCTGCAGGGGAGGGGGCGGCGCCAGGAGCACCAGGGGCGGCCTCTGCGGAGGAGGAAGCAGCCTCCTGCTGAGCGTAGAGCTCCTCCTGGGCCGACTTGGCCTTGGCCCTGGCAGCAGCGCGCATGGCCTCGGCCCCAGCTGGAGCACCTGTTGCCGCAGCGGCGCCAGCAGGCCCAGCCCCGTCAGTAGCAGCAGTAGCAGCGGGGCCAGCAGCAGAGCCAGCCGCATCGCTGCCGTCCACGCGCCTGCGCTTGGCCTCCTCCCTGGCGCGCAGCTTGCGAGCCTCCTCACGAAGCTCCAGGATGCGCTGCGCCGAGGGGCCGAGGACTTCCTGGACCTTGGTCTGGACGCTGTCGGCCAGCTCCTGCTTGATGCGCTCCCAGTCCACGCGTGCCTGCTCGTCGAGCTCCAGGCCCGAGAGATCGAACAGCGGCCCGTCCACGATCTGAAGCGAGCCCTCGTCGACGAGCGTCGAAAGGTTGATCGCCGAAGAAGAGGGTGGCGCTGCTGACGGCGGCGCCGAGGCCTTGACCTGCTTGGCGCAGGCCGCCTCCCAGTCCTGCTGCGCCGCATGGGCGCTGGCGGCCGCCTCGTCCTCTGCGGCCTGGGCGTCGGCGAGCCACTGCTGGCCCTCCAGAACGCGGGCCGAGCAGGTCTCAAGCCACGCCAGCGCCCTCCTGCAAGCCACGCCTTTGGCCCGCACTTCCTCCTCAAAGAGTGGCGCCTTCTGCGGGGCACCCGCGCCAGCAGCAGCTGCCTGCGCCTCCTTCTTGGCCTGCACCGCCGCCTTGAGCTTGAGAAGCTCGTCGCAGTCCGAGCCGAGCTCCTTCTCGAAGAACTCGAAAGGGTCAGCGGCATGAGCAGGCTGCTGCTGCTGCTGCTGCTGCCCTTCACGGCCACCATGAGGAACCCAGCCCGCCTGCTGGTAGACCCATGGCCGACGCTGGACGGCCTGGGCCTTCGGTGCGGGCCGGGGCAAAGGTGGCCCCTTGGCGCCCTTGCCTCCTGCTTGAGCCCAGGGAGGAGCCGCAGGGGCATCTGCCGCTGGCTCTGCCTCAGGAGGAGGCGTTGCGACCGCCTGCGGTGGGCCCCAAACCCACTGGCCGCGGGGGCGCTTGTCCTCCGAAGGGCTCGGCACCATGGCGCCTCCGCACTGGTAGCACCAGTGGTTGTTCTTGAAATTCCAGCGGAATCTGCAGGAAGTGCATGTGATGTACGTCGTCTTGGCCCCTGCCGCTGGAGCCGAGCGAACGCCGCCCTTCTTGCCGCCGCCTCCCATTGCTGATGCGAGGGAAGCTGCTCTCCCAGTGAAGGGGGCAGGCGATGGACTGGGGCGGACCAGTCCTCGCAGAGAGGATGTTGGGCGCAAGCACCCTGGCACTGCCGCGGACTAGCGGTATCCAGTTCGGCCAATGCGGGCTCCGCCCGCACGAAAGGCATCTTGAGCCAAAATGGCTACGGAGGAGGAGGAGGAGGAGGAGGAGGAGGAGGAGGAGGAGGAGGCCGATCCCGGGCGTCATCGGCTCCGTCGTCCTGGGGCCCAGGTGGAGCCGCCCAGTGCGCCACCTGGAGCCTGACGGTCTGGGCCCGCGGCCGACCCCGGAGCCCCAGGACCCCACCCACGAGGACAGCTGGCCATCGCTCGGACGTCCATTCCCTGTGTTTGTTCGGTTTCGTGCGTGGTTTTCTCGCCAAATGATCAAGGATGCTTCTCGATGGTCCTCGCCGAAAGAAACATGCACACGTCCGAGCGATGCCAAGACAGTGTCACCGATGCTGCAGGCCGAGTCTCTCTCGGACACGCCCTTTGCTCTCCCACCCACGCCCACTCCTCCGCCGCCTCTTCTGACCACGGCACAGAGCGAGCGAACGACCAGCAACCGCGCCGAGGCGATCCGACGGAGGCACCCAAGACGGGCCTTGGGCGTCCCAGGCGGGGCCCAGTTTCATGTTCTGACTCCCCTCCCCAGGGGCACCTGGCGGAGGAGTGTCAAGCGAGCCTCACAAGAGGAGGGAGGTCCGCGGCCGCCGTGTGTTGGTCGTGCGACGGTCTGACCAAACAGCATGAGCATCCGCCTCCGGGCTGTGCTCGACCGACCTCCCCCTCTACCTTCCCCCTTCCCCCTCCTCGTGCCCCCCTTCTCCCTGCCAATTCTTCCTCCTGCTCCCTCCTTCTCCGGCCCCCTCCCCGCGACGGCCGCTGGGGCGAGGAGCCGGCCTTCTGCCCTGAGACCCGAGGCCAAGCAGACACGCTCGGCGTCGTCCCACAAGGCGCGCCCACAGATGCGAGGCCGTTCTCCCCCCCTCGGGGGCCCTCGCTGGGCCCCTCCCCTACTCCGGCCCCCTCCTCACCCTCACCGTTCCCTCCTTCGCGGGCAGCGAGGCCCCCCCCGCAAGGGCAGCGGTTCGCTTTCGCCTCGCCCCCTCGCTGGCACCTGGGGGTCGGCGCCTGGGCCGCCTCTCCGGTATCGCAGGGGGCGCAGGCCAGGCTTGGCGGGCGGGGGAGGGGTGCGTCCTGCCATGGCGCGTCGCGCCTGGCAGGGCGCGAAGCGCGCGAAAAAGGCGGGGGCAGAGGAGGAGGTGGGGGAAGGAGTCCGGAGGAACCGAGGGATCTGACTTTGGGCAAAAAAAATGGCAACATCGTGACAAATCACAGCCAGAGCCCCGGACCCCACCTGTCTGCACAATTATCAGCGCTGGGTCGATACGTGAGGGTCCCCGGGTCTGAAAGTGGGCGAACACGCCTGGCTCGAAAATTGGGACGCCAGGATATCAAGGAGATGTGCGTGTGGGGGGGGGGGGCTCGAAAATTGGGACGCCAGGGGATCAAGGAGATGTGCGTGTGTGGGTGGGGGGGGGGCAGGCCGCATGTTTTGCTGACCCCCACGCCTCGACAGCGGGCCCTGCCAGTATATGAAGTACTGCCCGTCGACGCCCCAGTACGTGGGCCTGCCGTTGATCTGGCAGTTCTGCCTCTCGAAGTAGCGGTCGTTCAGGTCGACCTTGCCAAATCCCTCCTCTTCCTCTCCTCCTCCTCCTCCTCCCTCCTCCTCCTCCTCCTCCTCCTCTCCTCCTCCTCCTCCCTCCTCCTCCTCCTCCTCCTCCTCCTCCTCCTCCTCCTCCTCCTCCTCCTCCTCCCTCCTCCCTCCTCCTCTCCTCCCTCCTCCTCCTCCTCCTCCTCGTCCTCCTCCTCCTCTTGCTTCCTCCTCCTCCTCCTCCTCCCTCTCCTCCTCCTCCTCCTCCGCTGTGTCCTTCCCCCCCTCCTGCTCCTCCTCCGCCTCCTCCTCCTCCTCTCATTCTCGTCCTCCCTTCTCCTCCTCCTCCTCCTCATCCTCCTCCTCCCCCTCCTCCGTGTTTCCTCCGCCGCCTCCTCCTCCTCCTCCTCTTTGTGTTTCTCCGCCTCCTCCTCCTCCTCCTCCTCCTCGTCCCCCTCCTCCTCCTCATCCTCCTCCTGCTTCTCCTCCTCCTCCTCTTACATCCTTGATGGCTACTTCCCGAGAGCACATCTGCCTCGAGGGGCAGGGGGCGCGATCGAGACGCTGGGTCGTCGCCGCTCGCGCGGAAGCGGCACGGGGCGGGGGAGGCCCAGAGCGCAACAGCGCGGGGCCACGCACTCGCGGATGGCGGAGGCCAGGCCCTGTTCTCGGGGCATGCCCCACGGTCGACCCGCGAAAGAAGGACGCACGACAAGGATGCAAGGGCCTTGGAAGGCCATGTCGACACTTTGCGAGCGGGGCGCGGCCAGCGAAAGCGGCCAAGGATGGTCTGAAGGGGAGGGATGCAAGGGCAACCTTGGAAAATCGCTCATCCTTACTATGCGGGTTGACTGTGCAGTCGGAGCCGTTTGCGCAGCGTGTCGCGGCGGCGGCCCAGGTGACACGCTGTGCCCTGCAAGCGGGTAGCGTGTCGCTCCGCTTCGCGGTGCGGGCGGGAGGCTGGAAAAGGCCTGGGGCACTGACGCTTGAAATTGGACGCCGCCGAAGCTCGGCGGGCAAGAACCGGTGGCGCGACACACTGAGCAACTGTTCCTGATCTTGTCCCCTTTCCCCCCCGTCTGGCCCAGTCCCGAGACCTGGAGCGCGTCCTGAGCAGGACGTACAGTCGGGGCGTTGACCTATGGAACCCTAAATAAGTAACGAGGCCCCTTTTTCCCATAAGATGAACTTCGATTTCCCAACGAAGCCCTAAGCAAAACAACGAAGGAACAACTAAGGAACACCGAGCCCCTCCCCAACGAAAAGGATTCCTTCCTCAGCGCCCCGACTGTAGAAGCAGGCTTGGCCGCGACGACGAGGCCCCCAAGGAGACGGCTCACAGCCCATAAGCAAGTCATGCCAGCACGAAGCATGGAACATCCACCTCCCAACGCAACTCTTCACCCTCCACGTCCCCCCACTCACCCGCCTGCAGAGGCCTCCAGCGACCACCAGAGGTGTCCAAAACGGCCGAATCCGCCGATTATCTACCCTCCTTCTCCCCCTCGATTCTCACCCCCCATCGGTCCTCGATTCCACATCATCCTTCTCCCCCTCGATCCTCTCCTTCTCGATCGTCCTGCCTGATCCTCGACCCTCCTTCGCCTCCTCGATCCTCGCTCCTTCCACCCTCTTCGATCCTCCCTCTCCCCCTCGATCATCGAACCTCCTCCTCCTCCTCCTCCTCCTGCGCACGACCTTGCTGAACCCTCTGTACTCGACCGAGGGGGCGTTCCTGTCCACCTCGGGGTGGGCCACCTTGGACCCGCCCGCCTGCCCCCTGGACTGGGGCGGCGCGAGGCCCACCGGGTTCAGCACCCTGGGCTCCTGCCGGCGGAGGGGGGCCACGGGAGACATCGGCAGCCCGCACACCCGCAGACATGATCGCGTCGTAAAACAAAACATCAGGACGGGCGGTCTTTCGCTATTTTCGTCCCCGAGGAACCCTCGCCGGGCCACGGGGCAGTCCAAAAACGACTCGGGACGAAAAGCTGGTCCCGGGGGAAATGGTCGGGACTTCCGGGGACGCCGTCCTGAAAAAATCAGGACGTCGCATGTCTGGGCCCGCCTCCCCAACACGAGGGAGCGAGTGGGACGTTTCCGTGTGTGCAGGACGGGGTGGGCACGGAAGGGCGCCGCACGCCCTTCCAACCTCCAAGGGCTCAGGCACCAGGGGCCTGCCCGAAACTTGAGGGATTATTATGCGCTCTCTTCCCGCCCGCATTCAGAGATGCGTTGTATCACGCGCGTCCTTGTGTGCATGACTTGTGTGAGTCCTGAGGTCGACAGCTTCATCCCTTTCCGGCCCGCCTCCTCCTGGGAAGTAGCCTCAACTATGAATTCGGGGGGGATCTCACCAGCCTTCTGGGCGGAGGTGGTTAAAAGAATTCGTTCTGCTGACCCCCTTTTCGTTTCCTTTCGGGAGAGGCGGTTACCGCTCCCCCTATCCCGTCACCCTGGGTCTGAAACTCCCCCACCCCGCGACTGGTCATAGCGTGCAATATAGCCCGATACGGCTCACGGAGAGCCCCGGGTGGTCTACGAGGCCTCAGAGACTGCACAAGATATTCGAAGATGGTTCAAGATAGTATCCAACACGCCTCCAAGAAGTCCCAAGACAGCTCCGAGACGGTTCCGCATGTCCACGGGGCTTCCCGAGCAGGCCCCAAGAGGCCAAGCACCGTCACAACAGTAGTGCTGGTCAATGTTGTTTGCTTTCTCGCCCTCTCGCTTTCGAGGGGCTCCGAGGCCTCAAGATGGCTCCAACAGAGGAGCCCGCGAGACGCCCAACGCTGCCCCAACGACGCCAACAGCCGCCCCTAGAGGGCCCCGACGGCGGGGGGGCGCAATTGACGCCGCCCCCTTTTTTGGACAGATTTCCACCGGGATGGCCCCCGGCGCAGCCGCAAGGCCCCCGAGAGGGCCCCGGGAGGTGCCCAAGAAGAGCCCCAGGCGGCCTCAGGAGGGCCCCAAGAGGGCCCCAAAGGCTTCCAGACCAGCTCCAGGAGGGGCCCAAGATGGCCCAGCGAAGTTGCCAAGAGGCTCCAACATCGACGGCCGCGCTCCTCTCTCAACGGCTGCCTGCGTCCCTGCCCCGGGCACGACCCGCCCGCCCTCTCGACCGTGCGGGCGACCGACCCCTCGCGACCAGCCAGGCTTCTCAATATGATGCTTAGATGGTCGTGCTGGGGACCTTCCTGCAGCCACTCGCTCCACTCATGTGTCGCTGCTGAGTCGAACATCCGACGACTTGAATCGAGATTGAACCGTATTCATGTCGAGCCTGAGTCGAACTAGAACCGAACTAGAGTCGAACCAAAGCTGAACAAATCCGCTAGGTGGGCCGCCCGAAGGTCCCCAAAGCGAGCGTCTGATGTTGGATGTCTGGGGTTGGGAATGCCGCCGACGGTCTCAGCTGGCCACCCGCCGATCCTTCAGCCCGTGGCCCTCGCCTCGGGGGCGCCAGCAGGAGTGCGGAACCAAGGGGGTGGGTGGGCATCACGCGTGTCCTCGCAGGGGGCCTCTTCGACCGCACGGGCGACCAGAGGGTCTGGATACACGAGGCCGACTCCAATCCTGAGCCCCAAAGAGTCGACGCACCAACCTTTCTTCCACCGCCAGCTGCCCACCTTGCGCTGGCTTCCGCCCGCGGACGCGCCGCCGTTTCACTTCCGCTGGGGGCGATCCTGCTCCGAAGGCGGGGCCCTTCTTGGAGGTGGCGCGCCCGAAGTGGGCACGGGGGAAACAGGGTGACGATGCCGGGTATCAGATGTTGTCCAGCACTGACAGCGGCCACTGTTTGGGCTGGCGACGTGACGTCCAGAAGTTGGCAGACGGCTCGCGGCGATACTGACAGCGACTCCCGCAGAACATGGGCACGAACTGCTGCTGGCCTGCGTCCCCAATCTTTCCGTTGGAATTTCGCGCGCCCAGCAAGCCTTCTCAGACGGCGGGGAGGGGGGCTTCTCAGAGACCCTCCGGCCTTCTGACAGGCCCTCTGTGTCTTCGGTGAAGGCACAGAGAACTTCTCAGAAGGCCGCAGGCCTTCTGAGCCCTTAGAGAAGCCCCCCCCCCCCCCTCTGGCCGCGCCGCCGATCTGTGCCGACGGAGCGCCCCATGTGATGCCCCCCCTTGGGGTTATCCCTGAGATCCGGCGTATAGCGTGCCGAATCACGGGCAGAAACCCAGACCCCGTCTCTCTGCTGCACTTCCCGCGCGGGATCGATCTGTGCTTGGCTCCGGGGCCCGACAGCGGCCGGGACCGCCCGGCGTGCAAAAAGATGCAACGTCCCAGATCTCAGTGATCCACCCAGCGGCCCCCGCCAGCTCGCCCCACGCAGCGCCCTGCGTCTGCTCCGGCGCGGGCCCCGCCCGAGCCCTCTTGCCGAGCCCCATGAGGTGCTGCACCTCTCGGCGCCGCGCTTCATTAGCAGGAGTTTCCCGTCCTCCTCCTCCCTCCTCCTCCTCCTCCTCCTCCTCCTCCTCCTCCTCCTCCTCCTCCTCCTCCTCCTCCTCCTCTTCCTCCTCTTCCTCTTTTGAAGTGCCCCAGCGATCATCCCCCCCATTTGGTCTGCCTGTTGCCGCTGCCTGCTCTCTCCCGCTCAGACATGACATTTCGGTTCGTAGAGCTCTTGAGCCTACGGTTGCAGCAAGCCTGAAAGCTCCCGGCGAGCGGCGGCCCGCCACTTGATCCTCCTCCTCCGCCTCCTCCCTCCTTCTCCCTCCTCCTCCCTCCTCCTCCTCCCTCCTCCTCCTCCGCCCCCTCCTCCTCTTAGAACTGTGCGAGAGCTTCACAGATTCAGGGCGGTTCCTTTTCAAAATGTGGCTCTCGCCTTAGCGACATTGCGCATTGAGGGCGGTTCCTTTTCAAAATGTGGCTCTCGCCTTAGCGTCGCGCGCATTTCTTCATAAAACTTGAAACAATTTCACGGATTGCCATGTTCAACGTAGTAGAACTGGATTCAAGATTATGCGGGTGCAGCAGTTATGTTGATTCGCGGTGTTGAAAGCCCAACAACGGCGTTATGGCACGATTCCGGATCGTCAAGACGCAACAGTCAGGTAGATCCGTGGCGTTTCCCGAGAACAATGTTTTGGCATGCTTCAGGGTCTTCAAGGGTGTCTTCCAGCGAAGCAGTTCCATCAATGGAAATGATCCGTTGTAGGGGCTTATGGAGAGGGAGCTTGGAGGGAGGGATAATTCCAAAATCGTTGATGACTCCTTGGTTTACGCTAGTCCTCCTCCTCCTCCTCCCTCTCCTCCTCCCCCGACTACCTTCTAGACATCCGCTTCCTTCAGGGGAAAAGAGCAGGAAGAGGACAAGAGGCATTGACTTCGTGTTGACACTTGATGCCACTTCTTTGGCTGAGGACTTGGTTTGATGTTGACTTTGGTACGGAGCGCGCCCTTAATCCACTCGGAGGAGTGCCCTGTACCAGACTGGGCAGAGACCACAGGGCAGTGCAATGATTGCAGGGGATGGCCGCTGCGTGATCGGATGGGCTGGGGGAGGAGAAGGAGATCACTACTAGTAGGAGGAGGAAGAGGACATTAGCGCTCGACTCCTTCTCGATTCGGGGGAACGAAAGGGTAGGGTAGAGAATCAGCTCACGTAGCTGGTTTTCCTGGCGCCAAAGGCGCCCGTGTATCGAGGAATGGGCCCGGCGGCGGGGCGGAAACCAGCTGCATGCAGCATATTTCGTAACACCTCTTTCCCTATTCTGCTCTGTCGTCCAGCCCGATTGCTACTCTCTAAGCCTCCTGGAAACCCTCGTCGTCACGGCCGGGCCCACCTCGCAGTCCTGAGCCCAGGACGCCTCCAGCGAGGGGGGGGAGTGAGAAGGAGAAGGCTTTCGCAGAAGGCGGCGGGACTTCTCAGAAGCCCTCTGGCCTTCTGAGAGGTCTTCTGTGTCCTCAAGGGAGGCTTAGAGCACTTCTCGGAAGGATGGGGAACTTCCGAGCCTTCTGGGAAGGCCTTCTCCTTCTCACTTCCCCCTGGGCTCGCCGCCGAATGCATTGTAGATCCCAGAGCCACATTACACTAATGGTGCAACGGGTATGGCCCGTTTTCTGCGGGATCGGGCATGCACCCTGCAGGACATTGCGCTGCTGGGGCGGCTGCGGACATCGACGCCCGGCAGTATACAGTGTGGTGCTGGAGAAGCCGCATGCGCTGACAACGCAAAACATTACAGGGCAGAAACCAGAAGGCACATATGTCGCCGCGCAATTTGCTCTAAACGCGCCCAAATGGACGACGCCGGCACCACGGCCAACCCACAGAAAACCCTTCGTCCCGCGCCCCAAGTAGACGAGGCCGGCACCGCGGCAAACCCCACGGCAAGCCCGCCGCGCCCGAGGCGGCGTCTGTTCTGGTGCCCGCTGCGAATTCCCCAAGAGTGAAGGCATCGCGGCGGAACAATCGGCGTGGCGACAGGTCTAGTACGGCTGGGCCTGGGACAGAAAAACATCCAGAACATCCTTGACGAATATAAGGCCATCCGCCTGTCAAACTGAAGAACATTCGAGGCCCGCTCCCCCAGGATGCACAAGAACATCCAACAAGCACGACTTCCTCGACCTTCTACCTCGGTCCGACCGTACATAGATCGGTGCCCCCCGATCCCCAAAACACAAAGCTTCCTCGAGGGCGGGAGGGCGTCTTCGAGGCGTCCCCGATGCCCTCTGGGGATGCCCCCCACCTCGCCCCACCCCTGTGGTTCAAGGGGCCCAGGGACACACAAATCAATAGGCACAGATCCCAAGACCCCCTCTGCTTTCTGTATTTTCTGGAGGTTCGTCTTGCCTTCCACTTCCCATCTTGTCCAGGGAATCGACGATTCTTTGTGTCTGTGTGTGTGTGTTGCTATCCTTCCTGAATGGTGAACGCCGCCCGTCCTCCGGGCCGCGTGCTAGAGGGGGGCGGGCCGAGGGGGCGCTCTGGAAGCCCCTGCCTCGCCTCCCCGCGAGGCTCCCGCCAGGGCCTCGCGAGGGCAAGGAGAGGCGAGAGGCGGCGTGCCTCCACACAAGGCCGTCCTCCTCGCGCTGCGTCCGACGAGACACCCGCCCAGGCCCTCCCCCTCCCCGTGGCCTTAGGTCGGGCATGTCCTCCTACAGGCGGACGTTGGAAGAAACATTAAAATATGCAAACAAATATTCAAACATATTCAAAAATAATCCAAGAATCGTCCACCGACGTTTTTTGACTATTTTTGAATATCCCTCCTGTAGAGGGACATGCCGCCTGAACCCTGGCCCCAGGCCGCGCCAACTTTTCCACCTGCGCTCAGCCGTGGCCACGCCGAGGGCCCTTCGGGAGCCAGCGGGCGAAGAAGGGCACACCGCAGGACCTTTTCCAGCCTCGGGGGCGCCTGCCCCAAGGCGGTTGGAACGTTTACACTTCCGCCTGCCACCACCGCGGGCGCCCGCTATGGCGAAACCAGCTTTTGTATACCTTTCTTCGGCAACTGAAGGAGGCCCGAAAAAATTGCAGAGCACGCTGCCGGGCGACTGCGACGGCGACTGCGACGGCCTCCGCTGGGATCTCATCTTCGACGAACTGGCCGCTGGCGGGGTCCCACGTCCTGAGGGGAGGCGACATGGGGGACGACCGACTCAGGAGCAGAGAGCAGAGGATCCAACCCCATAGTCAGAACCCCGACAAACGATGCTGTTTAGCAAACGCGCCAACTGAAGGGATCGAACAGGGCAGGGCTGTTTAGCAAATGCCTAGGACCGGTTGGAAAACGCCAATTGTCGGGGTCGCGGTGGTTTTTCCTCCGTTGAAGGAGGGGGAGGATCGAGCCCGAATCGGCGACGTACCCCCGATAACGATAAAACAACCACACGTTTTCCCTTGCGGGGTGGGCCCCTGCCGGCGATATGAACGATTCGGGATCGATGCGCACCTCCCTGAGTTTGAAGGGGGTGGGAAACCCAACCAGAACTTTCGCCTAAGGCGAAGCCCATATCCAACTCTGTTGTACCGTAGTAACAATAGTCCCAAAAGTAAGAGATAGTCGCTGGAACGACGGGCCATGTCAAGCGAATCGGTTTTCGGTCCCAATGGCAAGTAGGTGTGCCTCGCGATGAGGCGCAATCATGTGTTGGCGACCGGCCGCTTGAGAACAAACGTCCGCGGACAAACGCTCGCTATCTCTCGCCTTTGCCCCAGCCTCCTTTAGAGTCGGGGGGGAGGAGACGAAGCGTGAATCTGCCGCCCGCTGTACAGAACAACGCTACGTGCACAAGGTAGGCAGCATCAGGCGGGCTCAACAAGGAAGACTGACCGGAACGAAAGTGTCCGTGCTAGCAAGTTGCCTCGCAGGCAAGTAACCTTGCAGGCGATTGCTCCTCAGGCGGTTCAGGCGATCTTGTCTGGCCAGCCCTGTATGGAGTCTGTCGTTTTAAATCGTGATTGAAGGACTGTGTTCCTCCCATGACCTGTATGAGCATATCTCTGTCGATGCTCCCCTTGGTGTGGCCATCCGCAGTCATGTCGCGAGTGTCGCGCCACTGTGCACTCTGCATGACACCTCGCTCCATCATCGGTCATATCCAACTGATGTGTCCCAAAGGGATTCACTCAGTTGCTTCCTTCAGGTCTTTGCTTGACGAGGACTTGAAGACACATTCCGCATCGATGGTCAAGGTGACCTCAATGTTCAGGCCGCCCATCTCAAGTATACATATATATAGAGAAATGTATGTATATATATATGTATATATACATATATACATATATATATATACACACCAACTGAGTGGGCATCAGCGGCCCTGCGCGGGGTTCATGCAGAAAGACGATCGTGGGATAGCAGTCCTCCAAGTTGCGGGCAGCTGCTAGTGTTTCCGCTGAGTAGCTCGACCGGACCTGCGAGCGGTGAGACTTGCAATGCGCGTCGATCAGATGGACGACGGGTTTACCAGCTTTCCACGCCGTAGCAAGTGTGCCCCTAGTCTTTGACCTCGTCCTCGGCATCTCCACTAAGACGCCAGTAGCCGGAGTCGCTGTGCAGGTCGACCTCGCCCGTTGCGTTCATCGGTTGGCAGACGATCTTCTTAAGGCAAACCTGCAACTGTCCGGTAATCGCGTTCAGTCGTCGCACTTGCATGTTGGTCGGTTCTTGGACACGTTGCAGGGATACAGCATGTAGCATCAACCGCACCTGTGTGATTACGGCGCAAGCCAAAGCGCCTCTGAGGCTTACAAGCATGTCAGTGACCATCTTTGATGCCTCGGCGTCAGCGTCTGCGCCAAGTGTGTCCAGGATGTTGTATAGGACGGAGCTGTTTTATGTATTCGTCTTGATCAAGTGTAACGTTACCGTCCTCATCCGTTGTGTACCTCGCAGCACACTTGGTAGACGTGTGTGTTGTTGAGTTCATTTGCCAAGAGCGCCCTCACCGCACTTGATGTACCTGTCGATGGCGCCCTCATCACTGGCCATATTGATGTCATCGACGTGCTTGGCTGCAACAAGGTTGGAACTTGTTTCGATCTCCTCGTCATGGGGCGCGGGTCTGAGACCAACCCCCCTGGTGGTCATTCTGAGCTTCAGTGAGAAGGCTCTCGATGCGTCCTTGGTGCCGATGCCTGGTTTGAGGCACTGCAAGCAGTGCTTCGACTCATCGTGGTGCTTAAATCCTGGGAGGAAGCTAAGCGCAGATGCTGATCCAAGCGGCAGCGTAAAGCGCGCCACGCGTTTATTTTCACCGTTTGCTTCAACAAGTTCCTGATGGGTAAATCCCCTCAGGAAAACCACGTTGATGTCAAGCGAAGCGATGATCCATTGCTTCTGGCACGCAGCCGTGCTCGCGAGCAGTCTCTGACTCGACCGCCGCGCCGTCGATGAGAAAGCCTCCGCGTCGAAGGCTCCGAGGTCCATGTAACCCTGAATTGCCAGGCGTAGTCCAATGGTCCGCTCCATCTCGCCCACTTCGTTCTTGACGAATGTCCCACTTATATGCATATCACGAAGTCATGATGTTTGACGCCTTTGGTGTATCTTACATTTTAAATCACTGGTTGTCATCTATTGAGTTCAGAGCAGGGGGCTCTAGATACCTCGACTGGGTTCGCCTGGATGTCGGCCTTCGCGGGGAGGTCGTCCTCATTGACGACTGCAGCTCGTTTAGCTGCAGCGGTCACATATACTCGCATAGTGGTTACGCGGCCGAATTCAAATATAGTGTGATGTTGTTCGAGTGGGGCTACCTTTGATGCGTCTGCAGTGAGGAAGAGTTCTATATAGTGCCCATGATCGTCAACGCCCAACCCGCAAGTGTCGTCTTCGTCCGTGGAGCACAGTGGGACGTGATCTGTCTCCGTTGTGTCGATGCCATGTGGATTGCCCCACGTAGGCAGGTGCCCCCGCTGTTCTTCAGCTACTTTGACCAACGCACTACTGTCGGTGATCATCTGTGTGGGTATAGTGTCGAGGTCGACTAGTGGTGTTGCCTCCAGTAGCCCTGTTTCCTCCTGCAGATCTGTGCGCAACGCATCCATGATATGCCCCTCAAAGTCCGCTTCTGATTCCTCACGGGTGATAGGAAGCAGTCCGTCTCCTGTGGTGCTTCGGCTACTGGGGCTTCTCTGGCGTCGTTGCCTTGTGTCGGTGCATCAGCCAGTTCTTCAAACTTTGCCATGTCTTGGTCGAAGCCCGCCTGAGGTTTCGTTGACTTCAGGCATTGGATGATCCTCGAAGGTGCTGGCCCATTAATATATATTAAATGTTTGAGACAATTTCTTCAGCTTCGTCATAGTTGAAGCCTGGAACCACGTCGTTGTCATAGTGCACCAGTGCAAAAGTGCCAGCATAAGCCACTGGAAGTAGCTTGTGACTGCTGTCAGCTAACCTGACGGAGACTGAATTCTCGATGCGAAAGAAGTACCTTAGGAGATAGTCGGCTCGCACTCGTCATCTGGAGCATTCTCTCTTTGGTTGGGATATAATCAAATGTCATTGCAGGTCGCCCCGCAGGAAGACTGGTTGCGAATGTCAACGCAGTCCTTAGGGCAGCGTTGTCTGAGCCAGTTTCTCGAGCGATCAATGCTTCGATGTACAGTGAAAGTCGTGCGTCGCCGTATTGGACTTGTACATCGCGGTTCCCCACTCCGATGATGACTCGACCCCTGTCGGGGTCATTTCGCACGACCGGGAGGGGGCCATTCCATCCCCCCCCCGTCGTCCATTGTAGTAGTGGGGCGCTGGTAGTCAGCCACGTTTCCGTCGTCATAGTACTGCTGACCCGTGATAGTAGTCTTGGTCCGTAGTGCACGATTGGTTTTGGCTACTGCAGTGGCTTGAGTGATAGCCTCAATGCTTACCCGGCAGGTAGTCTGTTCTCGAGAGTGGTCGCATGTTTGCGTCTGCCGTTCACGGTGCAAGACACGCAAGTCGGGTAGCATCGCTGGCTACCGTCCAAACAGCGCGTTGCATGGAGAAGCCACATTGTAAAAAAAGGTCAACGCGCTGGCGGCAAATTAAGGCTTCACGCAATAGACATGTGAACACAGGAGGTATTTCTAACCTGTTGAGATCAGCTCCCATGCCGTAGTATTCCGTTTCTGGCTTCACTTGTCGTAGCGTGTTGACCACGCGCAGGTATCCTCAGCTCAAGGTCTTTTGCCTTGAAGACTGCCTTTGTGGTGCCGTTGTCAAGTGCACCCTCTCCGTCGGAGCAGAGTACTTTGGCAGGTCGGAATTGCGCCCAGCACTGATGATACACATCTAAGATGCTGGTCATAATTGTATTTGGTATCTCGATTACAGCACCATGTCGAATGCAACGATCAATTCTAGGACATAGATTGTGATCCTGCTTGTAGAACATTAGATCACATTCGACTTCTTCGTTGGTCTTGCCAGGTCGTGCAGTAGACGGCATAACGGCGTGCCCTGGCAGGTCCCAAGCCCTGCGCCGCCGACGTGTATCACAGACGCCCTTTATCAGGTTCAGCCTGAAGTTGTCCAGACCAGCCTTGGTTAAAATGCGTCTCATCCTTGGCTCTTTGGCGTGGAACCGCCGTAAGTGCAGATTTCGCAACTCCCGCGTTACCACGCTTATATCAAGGCTGCGTAGGTTCTGTAAGTGAATCTGCACATCGAACCGTGACCAGTCTGGAAGTCTTGGACGAGCAGCAGGGTCACCCGCAGGTGGGTGGTGGAGGTGGGCCCCCTCCTTGCTGTCGACTTCGTCTGGCTACTATGCGTGGTTGCCGTCTGCGATCGTCCAGGCTGCCGGCTCCGCTCGAGGCAGGTTGCCCTGCAGCCGGTTCAGCGGCATGTCTGCCTACTGTGATGTCGTGGCTGCTGGTGCCTGCTGTTGGTCCAGCTTAGGAGCCAGGCCTCGGAGGTCGTAGCCGCGCAATGTGCTGGGCGGCTGGTGCCTCGGATGCTGCTGCCGCCACAGGTGGTGGTGCTGCCGGTTCGGCGGGGGCTGGAGGCTCCTGTCCGCGGTTGTCAGGCAGCTTCCAAGGTTTGGCAAATTTACATCTGCCAGGCGTATGTAAGTGATCATGTCTAGCCTGACCGTAGTTCTTCTGTCAGTTTGGACATTCCCAATGGTAATCCTCCTTATC